TTCAACTTCGCAGGTGCCCCCTCGCATTCCCACCCCCTCCTGCGGCCTGGAGTTCGCAGGCAAACGCGGGGAAGCCGCTTCCAGCGGAACTGGGCCTTCCGGCGCCAGCCCGCGAAAAAACGACGTCATCGAGATCGCCGCCGACATCCCAGCGCGCTTCTCGCAGCGTTGCCAGGTAGGCGCCGCCGTCGGCAGATCCTCCATCGACTTGCCGCCGGCCGTCATCCCGCGCCTGAACTGACATCTGGATGCCGCCCAGGGCGCGGCGCCCCTGTGGGGCGCGCGCCTCAGCGACCATGCCGCCATCAAGCTCGCCATCGACACTGCAGAGGTTCCTGACAAAGGCGAGCGCCCCATCCCCGACTTCGCCTCCCGGTCGCAGCAGCGCGAAGCCCCCCTCACGCAGATGCTCGCGGAAGCCGAGCTCGACGCCATGACCGAACTGCGCCACTGCGATGCCGCGGAGGAGATCATGGCCCTGGCGGCCGAGCTCGCCCGCAACGAGTTGCAGCAGCTGCCCCTGGACACGGGCGACGGCAATTTGCTCGAGAGTAGGCGACTCGCGCTCCGTGCCATTGCTTGCGCCGCCTGGCGAATTGATCGCCGCGCCGCGCGCTTGCCGGCTGCCGCCGCCGAGCTAGGCCGCGCGCACTTGGGCGCCTCGGGGCCTTCCCCGCAGTTGCGTTACCCAGCGGCCCCTTACAGAGTTGCAGTGTGAGGGCATCCGAAGCAACCGGGCGTCGATGTTGGCTTCCCCTCCGAAGGGCGACAAAATCGGCGATGCCATCGACTGCCCGTGAGTCGCGTCAGAGGTGCGCCCGCTTTCGTTGAAAAACTGCGACGCCATGGCCTTCGCCGCAGCGATTAATTTCCCGCTGACAGAGTTAGCGGCTGAGCGAGCGCACGAGACCCAGCGGGGCTATATCCGCGGATGGAATTTTCTGCCGGAGCGTAGCCGAGCTCGACGCCCGCGCGAGGGCTGCGGGCTGACGCGAAGGCGCAGATTGCATGATGCATCTCTGTTTAGATATCGACATCAAAGCTGCCCCCCCAGCATGAACCGCGCGTGGCTGCCGCCGGTTCTTGAGCGGATGGGGCTGCCGCCAGGGCACCTTGCAGCAATCGAGAGCCTCTACTTCTTTACCCTCGCCAGCGCGCGCGCGGGCGACGAGATCGCCCCGCTGCTCCTCAGGAAAGTGGGGTCATGCAAGGCTGTCCCCTCAGCGGCGGCCCGCGGGCTTTCGGCGCGGGCCCCGTCGCCCGCTCTGTAGAGCGCGCGCCCCCGACGGATCCGCGCGAAGCTTCCCTGGGAGCCTGCGCCGACGACGCGGGCGCGCCCCTGGCGAAGCTCACATGCCTCGCCCGCCTCGCCCCTTCCTCTGCATATGCCTCGAGGCTTGCCTCTCGCCGCCCCCATCCCCGCGAGTGCGTTCTCGCCCCGCTCTGGACATGATGCGCAAAATATGTAATCGCAGACACCCTCTCCGTCCTGCGCCAGATGCCCCCGAAGTGACAGTATTCTACCACGCCGGGAGAAACGATGCACCTAGGAGCGCACGTTGGCCTGGCGGCCATGAGTGCCCTCCAGAGGAAGGCCTGCTCGCAGAAATGGTGGGAGATAGCCGCGAGGACCTCTGCTTATGACGCCCCCCCCCCCGACTCCTCCCTCCATTCGCGCGGATTCGCGATTCCCCCCGCCCTGGGCTACGTCGCCCAGTTGTACCCGCCGCCGAAGCTGCTCCTGCACAGGGGGCCTCGGTGCATTCGCGAGCTGCTCAAGTTGACTCCTAATTTGCTCACAGGTCGCGACCTTTGGCTCCTCCGAGGTTGGGCGCCTGGCTTCGCCCCGGTCCCCGCATCGGCGTGCGCGGCGGCGACAGGCTAGCGCGCGGCGCAGAGCGCTGTCCCCCAGCGCGCCTCTTGGCGCGGGGAGCTCGAAGAAGGCTCGCGGCGCCACGACGCACTCGCATGCCATGCGCGGGACCTCTGGTCCCCGCCTCGCTGGCGCGACCCGCAGGCCATCGTTCAGTTCCTGCGCGACAGTGCCCGCTCTCTTGCCCCCCCGAAGGTCGCCGTTGCCGCTCGGCGGACTGCTGCGGCAGAGGCCCTGCGCGTAGCCGCGCTGGCCGCCGAGCTCCAAAAGAGGCCGCGGCTCCAGAGGGCGTGTGCTCGCTCCGTGGTTCGCGAACTGTGCCCAGACAGGATGCGCCTTGCGCTGCAGAAGCGAGTGCACTCTTGGTGTCCAGAACTCCAGGTCCCACCCTTCGCCCCCCGCTGGCAGGCCTTGAAGGGCGCCTCGGCGAAGACTCGCCCCGCCATCTTCCGGTCGCTAATGAAGACGTTCGCGGGAGGTTGGATCATCACCCGCAGGATGCACATCCTCGGCCAGCGTGGGTGCGTCTTTGGATGCGAGGGTGGTCCTGATGCGATCGCTCACTACCTCTCCTGCCCCTCGCCTGCTCCACCTCGTCGCCTTACCTTGCTCCGTCCTCCCCGCTTCCGTGCTCGTCCGACTGGGCCTTGGCGTGGAGAATGATTACTCCGAGGGGACCTCCAGGGAGCGTGCGCTCTAGCTGTTGGCCCTCGCTGACAAACTTTGCCCCACAAGCTTCGTGTGCGCACTCCTGGAACGCCGATTTGATATCCCGGGCACATCGAAGTGCCCTCAGCAATTGCGCGCCCTCTTCGAGGTGTGACACAGGAGCGTGGCGTCCAAGGCTACGCGCAACCATCATCACCACCTCACATTATCATCATCATCATCATCATCATCATCATCATCATCATCATCATCATCATCATCATCATCATCATCGTCATCATCATCATCATCATCATCATCAACATCAACATCAGCATCAGCATCAGCATCAGCATCAACAACATCATCATCACCATCATAATAAACATCATAATAATCACCATCACCATCAACAGCATCATCATCAGCACCATGGTTATTCTTCATCCGCATCATCACCATCAGCAGGATCATCTTCATCGGCATCATCAGCATCATCATCATCATCATCATCATCATCATCATCATCATCATCATCATCATCATCAGCATCATCATCATCATCATCATCATCATCATCATCATCATCATCATCATCATCATCATCATCATCATCATCATCATCATCATCATCATCTTCATCTTCATCTTCATCTTCATCTTCATCTTCATCACCACCAAGCTCCCGACCGTAAATTTGCATCGGCGGCCGCGGAGCGGGAGCAGCGGCCGAGCGGGTCAGGGCGCTGCGCGGCGGTGGCGCCGGGCGTGCCGGCCGGCACGGCGCGGGCGGCTCGCAGGCTCCGCCCGCCTGGCGCGGCGAGCGCGGAGCACGGGCAGCCGTTGACTGCCACCGTGGAGAAAAGGACTGACAGCTCAAGAGGGGCCTAAGAAATCTCAGGCTCCATCAAGCTAGAAAGCTGCTGAAAGCATCAGCTTCCCCAGGCCCTCGGCGGGGCCCGGGACCGTCAAGGAACTACTCAGGGCGGAAAGCAGCCTCAGGAAAGCTGTCCACGCGCCGAACACAAATGGAGCGCCGCTTGCTTGGGGCCCCGAGGCGCCCCAGGCGAGACCCCCGGAGGGTTGCACACAGCCCAGGAGGGCTCGGAGTAGAATTTGCCGTCGGGATCTTCTGCTCAGCGTGTCGCGTCGATGGGTTTTGCCCGGTGCGCTGCGGCGCGACGCGTCGACCACGTCCCGGTCCCCGGGCGTCAGCGTCTCCAGCCTCTCGCGGCCGCCCGCCCCGCGGAGCGGAGCGACATGCCATCAGCTCACGAGGGCACGGCGGGTCGCCAGGGCCGCCGCCGCCGCCGCGGCACGCCAAGCAGAACAGCGTGACCGTGACCCCCGCCTTGCCAAGTCGATCAGCGAACTGCCTATTGTCGATTCTCGAGAGGGTGTGGCGGCCGCAACTGTTGCGGGACAGCGCCCGCCAGGTCTGGTCCTGGGCCGTTCTCATTGGAAGGGCGTTTTGCTGAAGAGGGTTGCGTCCGTCCTCCTCGATGCTCGATGCTCGAGGACAATGGCGCTCGATGCTCGATGCTCGATGTCCTCGATCCTCGATGCTCGATCCTGTGAAATGGCGCCAGGACGGTCCAGTCCTCGATCCTCGATGCTCCTCCGCAGCCCTTGCCCTGGGATGCGGTCCGGGCAGAAGTTCGAGGCGGATCCAGCCGTGGCGACGAGGAGGCTCCAGGAGCTCCCACTGGGGGGGAGCCAAACTCGTCCAAAGATTTTGACCCTCGATCCTCCTCCTCCCCTTCCGCCATCATTTCTCCTTCCTCCTTCCTCCTCCCTCCCTCCCTTCCTCCCTTCTCCTCCCTCCGTCCCACCCTCCCTCCTCCCTCTTCATCTTCCTAGAAAATGTTCGCTGACCTCCACTGGCGCGCTTTGACCAGGATGCCGAAGGGAATATCTCCGTGGTGACCATAGGCTTTTTGGAGGCCAAGACAGGGCGAAACGCGTCCCACAACCCAGATCTTCGAGCACCTGTCCCCTCCTCTCCCCCCCTCCCTCCTCTTCACTCGGTGGCCGAGCTGTCATCCGCCAGCCGTGCTCACGCTGCAGAGGTCCCCTGAGACCCAACAAGGGCCACAATCGATCCTCCTCTTCCTCCTCCTCCTCCTCCCTCCTTACGCTCGTCTCCTCCTCCTCCTCCTCCTCGATCCTCTCTCGATCCTCTCTCGACTCTCCTCGATCATCGCTTCTCCTCGATCACGTACCTCCTCCCTCCTCCCCCGGTCAGGCTCTCGAGGGGAGTGCGGCCGAGGGCGACGAGAGCCCCCCCCCCCCCCCCAGAGGGTGGGACAGACGAGAGCAGAAACACAGGACGCCGAGGGTGTTCGAAGTTCGATCCTCGAACACCGATCCTCCTCGGTCCTCACCCTCCTCCTCCTCCTCCTCCTCCTCCTCCTCGATATTATTCTCCTTACTCCTCGCCCGAAAGAGTATGTTCCCCCCCCTGCACCTCGCGCCGAAG